CCAAGAGCCGGCATCTTGGGCTCATCGGAAAGAGCATTTCTTCGTGTTTAACTTTCCCGCCTCAGCTGGCTCCTCCCTTTAAAAACAAGCGCACAGAAAGCAAATGTTTGAAGGTCGTTTCGAGGCCCTTGATTGGCTGTGGCCGCCATGTTGCCTCAGCTCGCCTCGCCATTGGCCCGATGCTCGCTCCGGGAAATCGTCGTCTGCTGCTTGTGCGTCGCGAGGACATGGCTCTAGAAAATTGCTACTTTGTGAAGTGTTCACGGCTCGATGATCACTTAAGATATAATTATGCTTTAGTTCGGAGCAGTAGGCCTTTGCGCGATCAGGTTACTACGAGCGCGGCGATCGGAGTCGTCTTTAGCCCTCACTCCCTTGACAGCGAGACTGTGGGCAGGAACAATGCGCTAGTGCACTCATGGCGACGTGCTTCGTCGCAAGCAACGAAGCTGTAAGCGGCGGCATGGTCAGATTACTACGAGTGGCCGCACCGGATGCACAATCAGATTACTACGAACACGGCGCTTCATCGGAGTCGGCTTCAGCCCTAACTCTGCTGACAGTGAGACTGCAGGCAAGAACGACGCGCTAGCGCATCCAAAACAACCAGCGGGTTGTTTTGGATGCGCTGGACACCCTTCGTTCCTTCTTCAGCGCACATGACGACGTAGCAATGGACTACTTTTTCCAGTGCGAAGGGAAAGCTTTGAAGTTGTTGCATGGCAAGGGTCGGCAAAGTAAGTTGACCGACTGCTGGCAATAAATTTTCGTTCTGCTGGCCGTATCACTGTTTTTATGTCTCATACTCGCAGCAACGAAATTCTCGCGAAAATGAAAATTTTCGGTTTCCCCGGCGATTTCGTTATTACGGGTTTCGACTGTATAGCTATTGCAAGACTATTTTTAATTTACTTCAGTAGAACCAATATTTCTCTGTAACCAGGTTCATTATAAGGAGGTTTAAGTGCATACCTGCTTTGCATAATAAATAATTATTTATTTATTTATTTATTTATTTATGAATACTGCAACCCTAACATAGGGTTTTAGCAGGGTGGATACACATTTGCTAAATTAACAAATCGGCAAACAAGTAAATATAAAACAGGTGAGGTATGTACACAAAAAGACAATGGTTTGCAATGAACAGTCATAAGGGCATATAATGAAATCAGCGCTATATTCAAGTTGGTCACGAGTGGGGAATTGCTACAGTGATAGAAATAAAAAGCAGGATCACATATCAGACACTCACTGCAAGGAGCTGCGCAGCAAAAAGATTCAAGGAAGACTGGGAAACAACTTCATTACTAAGGTTATTCCATTCGATGATTGTCCTCGGAAAAATGAATATTTGAACGTGTTATTACGGGTGGAGAATGGGGTTATTGTAAGGGAATGCCTCTGTCTTGTGGCATATCCCGTGGAGAAATTAAGTATGTGTGATAAGTCTAACTTATAATAACCTTTAACTAACTGAAAGAAAAATTTCAATCTTAATACTTTATTCCTTTGAGTAGGTGTTGGAAGATTGGCTTTTGATAATAAATGTGTTATTGAAGTGCGGCCGAAACTGTTATAAATAAATCTAACAGCTCTCTTTTGAATTTTTTCCATTTCGCTAATGTTTTTTCTGGTGTGAGGGTACCAGATTATGGAAGCATAATCTAAAGAAGGTTGAACAATTGCATTAAAAGCAATAAGGCGAACGGCGGGGGTTGAAAGCTTGAGAGCTCGTCTAAGATAAAATAGCTTGTAATTGCACGAGCTTATTACAGTATTAATATGTCTTGTCCAGTTTAGGTCATTCGAAATCCAAAGACCAAGGTACTTGTAGTGTTGTACCTCCTGCAAAAAAACATTATTAGCTGAATATGCAAAATGAAGAGGGGTACGTTTGTGGGAAATTTTCATGAAAACAGTCTTTTTAAAATTAACTGACATCTGCCATTTATCACACCAACGAATGACCTTTTGAAATGCGTCGTTTAAATGAATTTGGTCGGTATGGTTTTCAACTTCCGAGTATAGAATGCAGTCATCCGCATATAACTTGACTTTTACAGGTATATCATGTGATATGTCATTTATAAACAACAAAAGAAGAGCGGCCCAAGCACGGAGCCTTGGGGCACTCCCGAGTCAACCGGTACTGTACGAGAACAATGTTCATTGAAAGAGACGTATTGTTTTCGATTCAAAAGATAACCAGAAATCCAGTTAGAAGCTGGGTATTTTTAAGAATTAAATCAAGTTTGAAGAGTAATTTATTGTGTGAGACCGTATCGAAAGCTTTAGCAAAATCCATAAAAATTGCATCTACCTGTTTTCCGGAATTTATAGATAGCGCAAAATCATGTACTGTTGTTACCAGCTGAGTACAAGTAGAAAATCCTTTCCTGAATCCGTGTTGTGAATCTGACAAAATATTGTGCTTATCTAGGAAGTCTGAAATGTGCTTATGTATTATATGCTCAATGAGTTTACAGGAAGTTGAAATTAATGAGATCGGCCGATAGTTAGTAACAGAATGGGATCTCCACTCTTATGTAAGGGCTTGACTTTAGCAGTTACCCAGTCATCCGGAACTTGACCATCTTTCAGAGATTTAGAAAAGAGAATTGTTAGGTACTTTGAAACCCATTGTGCGTAGCGCTTTAAGAACTCATTCGGTATTCCATCCGGACCTGAAGATTTCTTAACATCCAGTTTTAAAAGTAGATTAAGAACTCCCTCTTCACTTATGATGATATCCGGAAGGGGTGGGCTTGCCACATCAAATGTTTCCAGGACACCGTTATCCCTCGTAAAAACAGATTTAAAATGATCATTGAAAGCGTTAGAAATAACAAATGAATCACTAGTTTCAACACCATCAATTACAAAAACATCAGTAGTCACAGTATTAGGCGAAATTAAACTCCAGAACCTCTCGGGAGACGAAGACATGAGACTCGGAAGTTGTTGGCCATAATAGCGTTCCTTATCAGACACAACATTTGCTTTCACTTGAGAAGCAAGTTCAGAAATTTTTTGCTGGAGGATACCTACGTCTTTAGAGCACCGTCTTTGATTTTTTTAAACGTTTGAGCCGTCTTCGCAACTGCAACGTTTCCCGAGAAATCCAGGGGTTCTTTCCTTTCGATTTTTTTACAATACGAGGAACAAATCTATCAATACACTCATTTATAAGGTCTTTGAAACGCTTCCACAGATAATGAATATCAGCAGTGCAACTCGAAAAAGAATCAAATTCAAATGCTAGTAAATCCAATATTGAGGTGTCATCAGCACGTGAAAAGTTTGGGAACGAGACCACCTTGCAATTTTTCTTTAAAACAACATTAGTAAGCGTAAGTATCACAGCCTGATGATCAGATATTCCAGGGAGAACAGAACAGCTAGCTTGGCAGAGATTGAGCCACTAATGAAAAAAAGGTCTAGAATTGAACAAGAACTCGCGTGTATTCGAGTGCATTTGTCAACGATTTGCATCAAGTCAAAAGAAAACGCTATATCGATCATTCTTTCACCAATTTTATAGTTAGGTTGTTGCAAAGAGAAAGATGACCAACTAACATGAGGCAAATTAAAATCTCCAGCTAGAATAATCCGATCCTCAGGTTTCACATGGGCGGCGAGGTAGTTGTGTAGTTCATCCAGAACATCCATGGAGGAATTGGGTGGGCGATAAATAGCCCCAATAACGTACCTGGTCTTTCCATAATATGCTTTGCAAAATATGCCCTCGACGTTACGTATGTCATGCATTTTTGTAATTTGCAATGACTGTCTAAACAGGATCGCCACTCCCCACCTCTACTCCCACGATCTTTACGGTACACACGGTAGCCCCGCGGAACAAATTCACTATCAAGTATGTTATCGTGCAACCATGTTTCGGTTAGGATAGCAATATGGGGACTATAGGCCAGGAGGGTTCCTTCTAATTCTGTGGTTTTGCTAATAACACTTCTACAGTTTAAATTTAGTATTTCAGCGACGGTACACTGCACATATCCCGTCATTTTTCATTCTTCTTTAGCTTAACACGTGCATTTTTCGATTCATCCCAACTGAACAAGTTCCCATCCACACTCAGTCGATTGTAGAGTAGCTTAACTTTAGCACCGTTTTCTCTTTCTTTTTCGGAACTTTTCCACAGATTTCTGCGAGCCTCACGAACCCTGTATGAAAAATCTTCAGAAACGGACAATACAGAGCCCTTTAACTTGTGCCTAACCTTCAAAACAGACATCTTCTCACGATAATCAATAAACTTTAGAATAACTGGTCTGTCTTTGTTTTCAACTATGCGTCCAAGCCTGTGGCATCTTTCAACAGTAATTGCCTTTATACCTAATGTATTTTCGAGGATTTCCTCGACATTATCTTGGAGCATCTGAGGTGTTTCCCTAGGGGATTCCTTTAGTCCATAAATGATTAGGTTATTTCTACGGCTCCGATTTTCAAATCATCAACTTTACCTTCAAGGAATGCTAATTTTTGCTGCATTTGAGTCATAGTATCCTCAAGTTCTTTCACTTGTTGAGGCAATGCAGAAAATTTATTCATGTGACGCTCAATGGCATCCACTCGTTCTGTTAGCGTGCCAAATTTTTCAACTAAATCTTTCTGGTTGGCCTGTACGTTCTCAATAGCTGCTTTCATTGTTTTTTGGCCAGCGAGAAGCTGAGATAGCATTTCCTTTTCCGTAAGGGGACCAGGATTAGCTTCAACGTCACCGCAAACCAACAGATCAACAGATATAGGTGTGACGCAAGCAAAAAGAAGTTTAAGACACAGTGGGCAAGGCAGCAGCAGCAGGAATCGGTTATTACTTCGATAACAGGGGGCAGGAAAGTACCTACTAACCTGTATTGCAAGGCTGCTGCTGTAAATTAAGTTTACGAAATTCAGTCAGTGTCTTAGTCCTTGATACTGTCACTGTTTCGCACTTGTGGTATAAGACGGAACCCTTTGTTCTCATTGCACTACAGCATACCACTGCAAATGCATCAAGCCATGGCTGCTGCACAACCGGCGTACATGCCCTATCTGCAAACGCAAGGTGGTACTTCCAGGCATGGACCCCAACTCTGACTCGGAAGGTGAAGACGAAGGGGCCAATGCCACAGAGCGCACACCGTTGCTGGCGGGCTCTGGTGGTGGAGGCGGCGGAACATTCGATAGCTCACCGTTGCCATTTCGTCAACCAACAGACGCTACACTCGTTGTACGGGGCTCTGCTAATCGCCCTATTATTCACACGGCAAGCTTCCATCACGAGGACAGTGGCATGCCGACTAGTAGCTCATGCCCAACGCACGTGAGCACAGCACATTCCCTAAACCACGACGTTGACAGCAGCAGTATTGGCAGTGGCACTGAGGATGAAGTGCAGGTCAGGCCTAGCCAGTCCGCAAGTACACAAGGTGAAAGCCAGCACCATTTGCGGTTGTAGCACATACGCTGAAAGAATAAGAATTAGTTTTTTTCGTGGGCAGGGCAATTACTGTGCTCTATGGCAATTTTGTACCTTTTGGAGTGTACTTTTTTTTCGCACAACAATAATCGCCACCATTCTCGTGAGCAGTCCACCTGTATGAAAGTTGTGCTAGTTTGTACGTTTGCTCGCTAGGTGGTTCAAAGATGACGCAGGCGCAAGATTCTTGTGTGTCCTGTTCGCTTGTTTCTGAGTCATCCTCGTACAAGTGGTATCATGTCTGCAGCGATTTTCCCGTCACTAAGGCTTGAGGTGGTGATGTAATTTATGAAAATAGGGCAGGTAATGCGTGTTATTGGAAGTGCAGCATTGAAATTATGTTGGTTCTTGTGGGGAACCAAAGTGCACACCTCGAGGTGTAAAAGTTTACTGTGGCTTAGGGGAGCCAATAGAATTCTCAAACACCAACGTGATAGTGATAGAACTGTATGAGCTATGCACTTTATAGCTGCCTGCCTCTGTCTGCACACTTGTCTAGCACACACAAAAGGGAACTGGACTCGGGCCTTTGAAATGTGTGTGTGCTCTCCACAGTCCAAATTTTACTCCTCGGCGAGGCCCCTTTGGCGACTTTGTTTCCTACTTCACGCTTTGCTTGTGTGTGGTGTATCAAGGTAATCTCGAGAAACCGTGTTACTTGACGTTAGTAAATTGCTAGTATTGGGTGTTGTTTTAATTATCACTGATGCAGCTATGTAGTAAAGTGGCGTAGCATAAATGATTGCAATACAGTTGAGGTTGGCAGTGTCTTGCAGCATTGCTATTTTGCTTGTCTGCATGTGTAGCATGTTGCGGATATTTGCGCTCTTGAGTGGTCCATGCAGTCATTTTTCAATGCTGGGCAGCATCTCAAGTTGCGAGAGGGTCATGCAGAACAATTCGTGAACGGAATTGACGTAGTGAAAATCGCAGCCCTTTAACTACATTTATTAAGATTGTTGGCTTGTACCTATGTGGGTAACCTCCTAACCAGCTTCCTTCATGAAGTAGTAATGTACATCGTTGGTGATCGGCACTGACAATATTGATTGTGGCTGTAGACAAGTGATCTGGAACAATTCATGCACTGAGCATATAGTATATGTGTGCATGTGTGTGTTATGCTGCCTTTAATTTGTAGTACCTGGAGGCTCTCAAGCTTATAGATTCTTGACTGTGCAAGGGTTTACACTGTAAGCTTGCAGTGCTGTGTGATTTGTGAGGCTTTCTACTGGTGTGTAAATTTGTCAAGATACTTTTTATCCGAGCATCTGAGAGACGAATGTCACATTTCTATTAGCTGTTTTTTCGGCATCTATGGCATAGATATAGACGTGTCTTCATAGCAACAACAGTGAGTGTAATTTTGTCATTAGTTGTCAGTCATCTTTTCGCGTCAAGAAATTCACCAAATGAGTTGCTTGAGAGCGAAGTGATGAGGTAGACAAGCAGGTCTGAAGGTATATGAACATTTTGTAATCAACTTGATCCTTAGTATATCATTTCAACTTACTTTCATGCTTTATGTTCATGCTGGTGCTGAAACGTGCATGTTGAGAGTGATAATTTTGTGTATTCATTCATAATTCATTGATTGTCTGTATACTATCTTGCTTTATCGTGCAAACAACCAGCGACCAGTCATGTGATGTTTTTTAATACATATATCGTGAAGGGATTATGGTGATGGTGGGAGTAAATTTTTTTTGCCAAGAAATGTCCCGCATGTCATGTGGGCACTTGGGTCACTTTGTTTGACTGGATATTGCTTATAAAAAGCAGTGACGAGGTTGGCTTTGCAGCCTTCTCAAAATACAAAGCTTTTTAGTGAAATTGGCGATGCATGCTGTTGCCAAGTGCAATTTTTATTCGTTGTGATTCAGTGGCATTTCGTTTTAGCTTTGTTGTCAAGTGTGTTGCGTGTGTGTGACTGTGTTGTTTTTCAAAGCAATGGTGTAAATTGCAAACTCTAAGCATTACTAGGAAGACCATGTTGTCCCTCCAGCAAGTAACATCAGCCGTGTAACCTTGCGTCCATGTATCTTGAAAGGCTGACTCAAACAAAGAGTGCATGCGTGTGTGTACAGTATATTATATATATAGCTGCAACTTGCATATATGGTGCATCATTAGAATAGCGCTATTGGAACTACAGCATTTGAAGCATTTTCATGTGCCACTTCACTGGTTATGCTGAACTAGTGCGCTAACTGCAATACATGTTTTTTTTTTTTTGTATCACTCGTCCCACGTGTAGCCGCTGTATCTATAACGGCACTATGATGAATGCTGGCAATCGACAAATGTGGCCGAAAGCTTAGAGGTAATATGTACTGGCGGCTTGTTAGATCGGTAACACCTTAGCTCAAGTGAGTTGATTTTCCCCTATCTTTATAGTAATAGCACTTGGCTATGTACAGTCGAACCCCGTTTATAAGAGACACTGACATAAGAGACAAATGGGTATAAGGGACACCAGTGTGCGTACAGTAAAATACGGGTTGATAAGAAAATGCATTGGAGGTGCCCTGCTTATAAGATACAGTTCATATAAAAGGCAAGAATTGATGCTTGGAGAATGTCTCATATAAAGTGGTTTAACTGTAATGCCAGTGTGATTTAACTTGACATATAATACAGTGGGAGAGAGGCTGGTACAAAAAGCAGCATTGCTGAGGATGTGTCGTGACGTGCCGAACTATGTCGGTGTGCAAACATCCTCGAAATAAGGAAGGAGGACTGCTAGTTTATTTCGTATAGTATGCGGTCCACTGGATAGTATGCATTGCCACTGGACGATACCCAAGCTGCTGTCACTATGCGGGCACCTCATACCGCGGTGTACAACTGGCCATTGCTATCTGACGAGTGCTTTTAACTGCAGCCTTGTTTCGTCTACCTCCTTGTCGCTGGGAGCATCTCTTGATTGTGGACTGCGTGTGAAGTGGTGCTGCATTGCTTTGTTTAGACCGACTAGAGCGGGCTCAACTGTGTACACCATATTTTATATATAATGCACTAACTTGTTTTCTTGTGGTACTGCTGTAATGATATTTGCGCTAGTCATCATTCTATCTGGACAGGCCCTCAGTAGTGAAGGAAGTGACGTCAATGAAACTAGCTGTCCTCTGTTGCTGATTAACAATTTCTCTTGGGGTGCATGCTTGAAACTTGAAACAAGTAGCACAGTTGTTTTTCGAGAAGATGAAAATAAATGTTTATTTAAATTATTTTGTGTCTGTCGTTAGAATCTGGAAAAATAGAAAAATAGAAAAAAAAGAATGACTATGGTTAGTTGTCATAAAGAATGCCTGGCACTTCTCATAACAAAGCCCCGTTTTGTAGTCTTTTGTGGAGCCAATGCTAGATGACTAGGCATTGGGGCAAGTACTACAGCCTTGCATATGTAGCACAGACAGCAACAATGAATATGCTGGCACCCTAAGTTGAATTGCTAAGGCGTTACAAAAATGTGAAGTATATCTTTGGGTTTTCACATTTTCTTTTGTTCTTGGCACCAAACTAGAATGTGACCCGCCACGGTAGTCAAGTGGCTAAGACTCTCGACTGCTGACTCGCAGGTCACAGTATCGAATCTAGGCCGTGGTGGCTGCATTTTCGACGAAGGTGAAAATGCTTGAGGCTTGTGTTGTGGTGCACGTTAAAGAACCCTAGGTGGTTGAGATCTCTGGAGCCGTTGACTACGGCGTCTCTCATATTCTTATGGTGGTTTAGGATGTTAAACCCCAACAATTATTGTTATAAACTGGTATGTGAACTTAAAGGGCCCCTGCCACACTTTCTAAGCATGGTCAGAAAACTCTGCTGATCGCCAGTAAAGGCTCTTGAGAACACGTAAGCCAAAGATTACAGCATACCGTATACACGCATATAAGGGCCGCACCCGTCTAAGGGCCCGCCGCATTCCCGTTTTTAAGAAGCACATATTAAAAAAAAAGTTACGTGTAAGGGCCGCATCCGCACTTTCCTTGACCCATACGTATTCAAAATGCGCGCGCATTTGTGAGCTACTAGGCGTTGTCAGTAGATAGCGTTAAAGAACACAGTTATCATCGTCACCATATAGTACGTCATTAGAATGATTTGTTGGTTTTCTTCATGCTAATGTGTTCATGAAGTTGGCTAAAAATTTTTAGTTTTTTCAGTAGTGTTCATACACCCATGAACTAAAGGTTAAAGCGGGATTTTATCTTTAACTTCTGACACTTCTATACATATGCGCTATCCATATCGGCATTAGCATCGCCAACTTTGGTATTTGCTCGTTGTTCGGTTATTGTGCTGTTCAGCCTGCCATGTGCTCGAGTTTTGCGCACCGTTGAATGACTCTGGGACTCTAGCTAGTTTTCTGCGGGATGTTTACGTTTTGGCACGATGGGCAAGCAGCTGAATAGCTATACAGCTGGCTATAAGTTGAAGGTAATCGAGTTTGCTCTCGAGCACGGGAAACAGGGCCGCTGGCAGAAAATTCGACGTTGACGAGAAGTGTGTTCGACGTTGGTGCACTCAGAAGAAAGCCTTGCAGAACACCAACATCAAAAAGCGCGCTTTCCGAGGAAAACAGTGCAAGTATCCTGATTTGGAATAGGAGTTGCTCCGCTATGTGATTGAGGTGCGGAACGATGGTTTTGCGCTCACTACGGACATGCTGTGCATGAAGGTGCTAGCCTTGGCAAGTGCGAAAAATATACCGGCCGGGGATTTCAAGGCTAGTGCTGGCTGGGTGCGAAGGTTTCTGAAAAGGAAGGGACTTTCCTTTTGGCGAAGGACCATGCTGTGCCAGCGGCTGGCAGAAGACTATACCGACAAGGTGCTTAGTTTTCACAAGCATGTCATCGGCCTGCGCCATCAGCACAATTATCTGTTGATGCAAATAGCGAACGCTGATCAAACTCCTGTGTGGTTTGACTCTCCCGAGAACTACACAGTTGAAGTAAAAGGCAAGAAGAGTGTCGCCGTGCGGACCACCGGCGCTGAGCGCCAACGCTGCACCGTGATGCTTTGTGTGACCGCGGACAGGTGGAAGCTACCCCCATACGATGTTTTGAAAAGGAAAAGCATTCCCAACGAAGTTTTCCCCAAGGGCATCATAGTTGGAGCCCAATAGAAGGGATGGATGAATGATGATTTGGTGCTTGACTGGGTGAAAAGTGTTTGGCAGAACAGACCGGGAGCTTTGTTGGCCAAACATTCACTTTTAGTGTTAAATAGTTTCCGCGGCCACCTTACAGATAAGGCGAAGAAGCAGCTGCGCCGTGTCGGCACAGACATGGCCGTGATTCCAGGCGGCTTCACAGGAATGTTGCAACCATTGGATGTGAGCGTGAATCGACCGTTCAAAGTTGAATTCCGAAGACTCTACACGGAATGGATGGCAACCGGCAACCATGAGCAGACGCCGACCGGACGGCTCAAGAGGGCACCGCTTGCTACTGTTCTCGGTTGGGTATCGTCGACGTGGAGCTCGGTGTCGACGGACATTGTGTCCTGAAGTTTTAAGATCACTGGGATATCCAACAGCCTGGATGGCACCGAAGATGACTGTTTGTGGAATGATGGTGCTCTGCAACACACCATCTCGGACTCGGAGTTAGAGGACTCGTCGAGTGACGACGATTAAGCGCACATGCGGCACACTGCAATAAACGCTCTTCGTTCGCTAACTGGTACATTGTTTTTAGTTCACCAAAAAAAAAAGTTCCGTGTATGAGCCGCACCCTGAAAATTGGCCCTCATTTCCCGAAAAAAAAAAAAAGTGCGGCCCTTACATGCGTTTACACGGTAGCATGTGGCCTGGAATTTACAATTGATCCTCAATGTCGACTATTAATCGCTCCTTCTCCTCTTGACAAATGATGCCGTATACCCGAAATTACCAAGTTGTGAGTAGAAAGTCCACAGACATAGACTGATTGGAGCTTTGTGAGCTGCATAGTTACTGTGGCCGCTACGAGATGCCGCCACATGCTTGTGTATGTGCTCACGATTACGTTGAACGTGAGCCGTGCATTTGAAGATACAGAGAAAAAGTTCTGACAGTCACCTTATCGCTCACTTGTCATCCCCCTCCCCATGTCACTTGTACAAAAGGGAGAGAGAGCACTTGAAGCATGTGACGAATCACTGCAACATCGCTCGTACTTCATGGATTCGAAAAATTTTTGTGGCAGTTGATTCACCAGCTAATATGCTCTTGTAAAGAGGACACTGGTGCTAAAAATGAAAAACCATGCAAAAATTTTTTTTCTGAATATAGTGTTTTGTAACACACAAATATTGCCACAAGTGCTGACGAAGTTTGTTAAATTTGAGATTGACATTTCTCTTGTAAGAGAGGACACTGGTGCTAAAAATGAAAAACCATAAAAATTTTTTTTTCTGAATATAAAGTTTTGTAACGCACAAATATTGCCACAAGTGCTGACGAAGTTTGTTAAATTTTAGATTGACATTTCAGCCACAACAGTAATTTATGCAATGAACACAAGCTATATTTTGATTGAGAAGAGGCACAAAAAAAAAAAATGGGCTTATTTAATGACAGACTCCTTTTGAATGACATATCCTAAAGCAGTAGGCGTGCAGGTTATGTCCCTATTTGGCTGTTAATCATCTAACAAAACTATTTGAATATCTTCTGCTATGTGTGGCTGAAAATGAGCTTTACCTGTTATTTTAATTTTTTTCAAAACAAGTTGTTCGGTGCGACAATTTCTCAAGCTGTAGAATAGCTGTAGCTGTAATGTTCTTTTTTTTTGCTATATGAAACTAAATGTACAAAGCTTGAAGTACTGCAAGCAGATCCTTTCTTTCCTTCTTTAATTTCTTAACAAGCTTTTGTTCTTGATAGTTAGTAGATGTGCCGTAAATGTTGATTTTGAATGGACTGCTAAGTCGCTAACTATTGTTACAGTTGAAAACTGGTTGCAGCACTGCTATCTTTATTCATTCCGCTTTTCATTCATGAAATAAACATAACTTTCTGCCCATTTTAATATTTTCTATTGTCTCAGCAAACAATAGCAAATAACATTTAATCATGTCTAATTATCTTATTCCTATATGAACAGATAAAACAATATTTCTTGTTTTGAAATTGAATCCGTTAAGAAAATGGCCAAGATAGCCCCACGCACCATATTTTCCCTTAATAAAGCTGCTCGATGATTACTTGAAAAAGTGTTGAAGGGCCTTTTTAGGCTATAAGCGGCTCGCTCTGGCTTCTAGACCAATGGTAATACGAGCGATCAATTTTTAAAAATTGTATTTAGCATCTGAAATGCATGAAAACCTCACTTAATTCATAGGTTGCTCACGTAATGTGGCAAATTAATACCACTACAGTGGTGTTGCACAAACCTTGCAAGTACAAACCTAACCTTGTAAACCTTGTCTTCTGGCAATACTGCATGCAGTGTTCAAACACGACACAACTTCTAGGGAAGGTGGAGTCTTGAAGGAATGCAAAATTGTTGAACAGGGAATGACACCGAAGCCAACATTTCCCAAGTGGACTTCACAAATACAAGTCCACGGAACGTTGTCTCCAACGGTGTTCCCTTGCTGTTCAAGGATTTTCCATTATACACAACACCGGACTGGAAGTGTCACAATTGCTACGTACTAGACACACTTGAAATAATACGGGAAGCTGCGACATCTACCGTTGTCATCCTGGCATCCTCCATGTAGAGCCCTCTGTAGTAAAGATTGATCCTGTATGTTCCGTAGCCCTGAAACCACGAATGAAGTTATGCCATAAGTGTATCGTGACCATCTTAACGGAAGCGAGAGGTAGCGTACTGTCGAGTCCATTTATAATTGCCATGCTTGGAGGAATCTACATTTATATGAACAGCTTTTTCAACTTTGATAATGTGATGCTTGGCAATGGTGGTTGCAGTATCAGTAAATAAATTAATAAATAAGCATATTCAGTATAATCATACAGGTGCCACTCATTCACAACATGCACAGTTTCAGTTTGCTCAAGTCAAACAAAACATGCACACGAAAGTTTCGTTGGGACTTCATTTGACGTGAAGTTGGAAGAGTTGCAGATGAAGCCTACTAGGACACCTCAAGGTAAAATAGCCTGTCTGATGCATGGGGCAAGATTTCAAGCTATATCATGGATGTTTTCTAAGGTAAATATAACATGCAGTTTAACATGCTTGTAAGAAGTTCACAAGAATGTGTTTAGAGAGTT